GCTGTCACCGTATTCACTAACGTCCGGATACGAACACGCCACACGAACAATCCACATACCGACAACGTTATTCTCCAAAGAAAGTCTTTTCGAACGAAACCGGTGGGTCGGACACGATGTCCCCGTTGGTGTCAAGGAGCTAGTAACCTCCGTCTTGTTTTGTTATTGCTCAATCGCATCTTAGGAGAATCCTGTATTCAAATTCGTATCACCTTTGTTTGAACAGTCCTCTGAATGGTCATTCCAGCGAGTCCATTTTAAAAAGCGGAACACGTCGGCAAAGTCCTCTCTAAAATTCGAAGGTTGTACAGCTTCGTACGATGATTTACTTCCATGAGCACTGTCATATCGGTATACTGTCCCATCGGTTTTTGTCAGCGTACTGTTACAGTTCCTATTGTCTTCCGATGGATACCTTAATTGAGGGAGAGAGACACGAATTCCTGTACTACAAACCTTCGTAAGGTAATATTTGAGGTTTCTAGCCCGTTATATTCAGATCCGATTGGTTACCTCCCGAAACTTTCTGTGCACAGCATCGATGTGCATTTATGCGCAAAGATACGTCTCTGTATCCCGTTTGGACACGGTTTTCACATGTGTACTACGGATGTGTAGTACAGAACAATATCAGACAAATGAGTAGAACAGTTTTTACGACTGGGATGTTGAAAGCAGATCACTCACCAAGGAAGTGCTAACGCCGTTCTCAGTCTACACGGTTCTGTTTTTCATCTCCTTATTCGAAAAACCGCTCGTTGTCCTGTACACGGTGTGAAACGTAGCTACTATGTCCTCACAGTCCTCAGTTCCGAGTAAACGGCAGGCTATCGATGAAGCCGATATCGATCGGGCAATCGCCTCAGGTTCTTTATTTGGGCGTGGTAGGGCTGTCATATTCTTATCGGCCTGCTGTCTGCTTGTCTAACTTGAATTTGCGTCTCAGTTTTACTGGGGTAAGTAGCCAGATACCCTAGATAAACGAGATTTGAAAAAGCTTGCAATAATAGCGGGCTGGAGATTTGGCAGTGTGGTAGGTGCGTTTATCTGCTCTTGTCTGAATTCCGAGTTCCGGGAGGCTTCTGTTTTTAAGATCGAACTGATCCGTAGGTTCAACTGAAGCATACTTTGTTTCTTTCAAATTCCCACCAGATACCCTAGATAAACGAGATTTGAAAAAGCTTGCAATAATAGCGGGCTGGAGATTTGGCAGTGTGGTAGGTGCGTTTATCTGCTCTTGTCTGAATTCCGAGTTCCGGGAGGCTTCTGTTTTTAAGATCGAACTGATCCGTAGGTTCAACTGAAGCATACTTTGTTTCTTTGCAAATTCCCATGGGTGAAATATCTCCTCCATATATTTAAGTTTGACACGTGCGTGTTCCGAGCTCCTTGAACGTGGCCACTGCCAACATGACCAAATCCACATATATTGCTCTCTCCCTCCGCCAATCTTCCATCCCGAAATGATTGCATCCCAATCCTCGAGATAAGTCGATTTTGTTTTTCGCCCTCGTATTTTTCACACCGCCGTCCCTCCAACAATTAACAAATGGGTTCCGTTTTGGAGTACTGTTGCGATATTTGGAGCGGTGCTTCCTCTACCTATCTTCCGCTCCCAGTCGTAAAGTCGTGCGCTTCGTTGACTCCCGTTTCTTTACCGATAGCATGCAGAATTTCCCTGTCAGAATCTGGCCTCTCGCTAGTTTGTCGCCATTATCACGACAGATGTGCATCTTCCGTCTCGCTCCCGCCGTTGCTTAGTCACCCACATCTAGCTTCAATCCCCGGCTGCCAAACAGGACTATTTTTCTCCAGGATGTCAGGTCTTTGCAAACCCCTTTCCGGTTTTTGTGTTCCCAAGTTCGTATGGTCTTCAGGACTCTGGTTCTCATTCATCTGTTGTTGTGTTTTGCTGAAGCGTCGTGCAACTCTGTATCGGTCCCTTGTCTTCCTGCTCCGCCCACTGTGGTATATCAAAAGGCGCGGTAGCTTCAGACAGCACTTTATGGAGACAAAGGAAAATTATTACAACCTTATTTATGGGATAATGACATTGTTCCAAAAGATCGTGCTGGAATCTGCGTGAGGGGACGAGAAGTGTCGAGTCAAAGATGCTCGATCCGGATTGGCTGGCATTCTGACCAATCATGGCACACCTTCGTTTGTTCCGTGTCCTGCACGTGACACATCCGTCCAAACGATGTGATGTTCGGCTATTATGGACAGCTGGCCTCCGGGCATCTATTCAAACTCCTGCTACAGTCCACAGTTATGCTCTTTCCGTAGGTTGTTTACTTCCTCCTTATCGGTGTATTTTTATGTTCCACTAGCCGTCCCAGGTTTCCAGTCAAATCCGATGTCCATCATCCTCCCTTCCTGTGATTGGCAAAACAGTGTATTCTTCACCGTACAGTTTGAAGCAAATGAGTCGATTCTTGTCGTTTTCCAGTCCCCTGTTTTCACTCAGTTTGCCAGCTATCCAGTGCAGTTGTTACACCAGTGTGTGCCCGTATATTGATACTACGATTCATAGTGTGCGCCACCACACGATAGTACACCGATAACAGTGAGGCCTCTGACGGATATTCGGTCGGCTTCATTGTGGATGGTGGGCGTTCGATCAGAACCAACACTGAGTCCTGAGTTGAAATTTTGAATCAAGCAACGTACCACTCAAGTGCGAACGTGTTCATGAAAACGAATTCAGGTGCGATCAGTTTGTTCGTGTGTCGTGGCGGTCCACCTCGCTTGATCGCTTTACGGTGACAGACTGTACGCGCAGCCGGTGACTTCTGGTAAGAAAAAAACTCTACCGGGGAAGATTGACCGGGGTAATTTTGTCCAAAGAGATAGGAGAGTGTTCAGATCAAACTAGCGTGGGCGTAGTCCAAATCTCGCTATTTTACGCTCCGGTTTTACTGCACGTCAAAAAATGTGCTACCCATTTGTTGAGTAAACTTTCCATCCGCGTATTTTCGCTAACTTTGGTGCGATCGATTGTCTCTCTTAGGATTCAGTCAGATTGATACTCAGGACATTGAAGTGTTGTTCCCTGTAGGGTTTATCGAAATTCGCCAGTTCCCAATTGAACCTGGTTTCTATCGTGTTTGCTGTTGCGCCATCCATCGGATGGGATCTGTGTGTATGACCGAATAACAAAGCTTGAATTCGTACTCTCATGACTCTCGAACACCCTGTTTTCTTTTGGTAACTTTTCCGGGACTAGGCAGCGTGATCGCGATTGAATAAGGGGAGAACTGTTCAACCGAGTGACGTGAATACAACTGTGACAGAGTTCAACACAGCATGCATCGTGCAGACAAAGTGATACGAGAAGCAATAGTGCGTACTATGCAAGGCCGGATGATGTGGACCATGCGACAGACGTCACAGAAGATAAATACACACCCAGTATACACAGCAACTACACATCCAGGACATTCATGGCTGCATGTTTCGCTACGGAATCACAGCCAACTCAATATCAATTTCATTGCAGGCTATCTAGACTGTAACTGACGTTCCACAAATAGTTTCACTGTTGTTCGATAATTGACAGAATGGGGGAGAACAGGTATCTGGAAGTCTGACCAAAACAGATGGTTGTCTCTCAAGGGTCTGTGGATGCGCCAAATTTATTTTGATGGACTGGTTATCTCGTATTTCCCTCATCTTTTTCCCACTCCAACTTTTTCACGTGTTGAATCGTTCATTCATTTGGTACCAAAAGATCGGTTGCCTAACAACGCAGTACTTGACCATTCATCATCATCGACAGCATGACATCAGTGCTTCACTGCCGTACAACCATGACTTATTTGAAAGCCTTATTGTAAAGAAAAGAATAAAGGTGGACGGGGAGGGGACTTAGTGCTAGCTTAACACAATCATTCCGAGGTGCCTACACCTCCAGACATTCATTCAGGCAATCTGGACAGAAACTGACAACAAGAACGCCACTGA